ACAGGACGGCAGGCAGGCTTGGGGTCAGGGCAGGCAGAGGTTCGTAATCAGGTCAGAGTCAGGCAGGTACAGGAAGGCAGGCAGGCTCGGGGTCAGGGCAGGCAGAGGTTTGTAATCAGGTCAAAGTCAGGCAGGTACAGGACAGCAGGCAGGCTTGGGGTCAGGGCAGGCAGAGGTTCGTAATCAGGTCAGAATCAGGCAGGTACAGGACGGCAGGCAGGCTCGGGGTCAGGACAGGCAGAGGTTCGTAATCAGGTCAGAATCAGGCAGGTACAGGACGGCAGGCAGGCTCGGGGTCAGTTTTGCATGATGTCTACTTTGATGCTAATTCGAATTTTCGAATCTGAGAGTAATTAGAGCAAAATATATTGATAAAAGTCACCTTGTCCGAGAGATATTTACATGGTTTTCAAAACGTCCTTATTTTAAGTGTTTCTAAATCCCCTATTGGAAAAATGAATGGTGGAAAAACGATTATAACCAATTCCCTGTTTGACTGCTAGGTTGTATGGGTATTATGACACCTCCACTGTGGGGCTCTATGAACAAATGCTTTAAAATGATTTGTTTGCTGCTGCAATGCAACAGCTGGAACCAGCACTAATATAGATGCTACAACTTTAAGAATGGCGTATAATAGAATTATTGTAAAATTAACTCTGTCCATAAGGTGTAGATAGTAAGTATAGACCGGAAGTAGAGGCCTGGGCATTGTTGTTCACTAATTTACTCCAAGTAGGGAAAGGATGGTGGGGTTGAAAAGTAATAAAGGGGAGTATATATATAAAAAAAAAAACATGGGGGATTGGAAGTGATGCAGACAATTACATTGATAGAAGATACAATCTATCTGCAATATTAAGCTGATCCATCCCCCCCCCCAAAAAATAAATAAATAAAAAAAATACAATAAAAAGAATGGCGTAATCTAAGAAAGGGAAAATTATATTTAATCCCAACTATCATCAGGATAGGCATACCTTTGGGTTGTTTTTTATTACAGAATGTTCTTTGTCTTCAGTTCCCTTGTGAAAAGCAATGATTGGGCACATTTGTGATTCCTATTGTTTCAATTTAACCCTAATGAATGAAAGTGTCATCCAACTAATACACCAACAGCTGTCCTATTATTCTGCAAAATAACAAAGTGTTCTGCCAGCTTGCAGACAAAGCACCTGACCACTGTGCCCTATGTGGGGTACGAGGCCTGGCTGTCTCATACAAGGACCCATCAGTTTAGTAGGGGATTCTCAACTGAGGGCTTTGGCTCCACTAGGTGGCCAGATACTGTAGTCCTTCTATAGCTCTGAAGTTGTAAATCAGGGTTGTGTTCAATTGGGCACACCACAGTAAAACCTTTTGCAACCGAAAAAGAAAATGATGTTCTTATTGGTCAAGTTCAGCTAGTAGCTCCCAACTGAACACGACACAGCTGTGAATGTGGGTTCCCTTTTTAAAATCAGATATATTCTGCCTGTGCAGATGGATGGAGTGATCTGAGCGAGACAGAAGCATGCAGTGCCCCATCTGCCAACCCAAGTTCACCGTCTGGCTTGGGTCACTCTGTGCCACACCAGCAGAGGAATCATCTGTTCTCTGTTCTCATTTGACGTGATTAAAAAGAAAGATCGGAAATGACCTCAACCCCAGCCAGGCCCCCATGCCTCCCAAGCCTTTCACATCAGTGTAAACAAAGTCCGAAAATAAAGGGCTATTTTTGTGTACGTCCTCTAAGGATAATGGTGGCATAGGCACTTGTTTGAGGCTTTCAACACAACAACCATCAGTTCACAATTCTATACAAAATCTACACCAAATCTGTGTGACTGCCAGATATGAATTATATTCCATCACTACTGTTCCACTCTTATAGCCAGTGCATTTTAAATTGAGTCAAATCATACTTATGTGGTACAGTCAAATGGCAGAAGGATTTAACAGAAAACACTTTTGTGTTGATGTACCCATTACTCCTCTTTAAACGGAGGTACTCAAAAGAAAAAGTACAACTCATAAATATTCATGATCGGTGATGCATAAGGGTATGAGCTGTGTGGAATATGTGATTTAGAGATCATAGACAACAGCAGCCTACGGACCCCAGGAGAGTGAAGGATTGTTGTATTGTATTGTTAATGCTTTTAGGCACAGGTCCAAATACGCCGTCACTAAAAAATGAGATATCAAATGATAAAGGGCTTAAAACGTGAAGTTGAGGGATTATATCAAACTAATCTCCTGACATTTTGGGGGGGGAGTGAATATCCTGAATAGTTCAACTAGCCAACTGACGTCAATTAAATTTGGAGCATTTTATATTACAATTTCTTTTTACAAAAAAGAGTGTCATCATATTGCACATCTGGTCTATTGTATAAAAGACAAAGGGGAATCATTTAGAACAACCATAACATTTAGAGACATAGAAACAGACTGTAGAGACTGTCTGTCATTATTTTCAGGCACAAGTAACAGAGAAATTAAGAGTTCTTTGCCTCTCCAACAGAGATAAAAATCATAATGAGATTCAAGGGAAATCAAATGCCTGGAATTACATCACTTTTCACACAGAACATTTATTAGATTGAGATTAAGGTAACAGTAAATGAATCCTCTCCAATGCAGTACAGTACACAATTGTGTACAGATTTTACATGTTGTAAATGCTGTAATGGACAAACAGCTGACAAAGAAATTGTGATTTAAGCGAGTAGATCATCATCATCAGCATCATCATCAGTGCTCCTGTTTGGCTCAGTTAGTAGAGCATGGCTCTTGCAACGTAAGGATTGTCTCTAATAATAATTTCATAACAATGAGATGGGTACATGTAGTGGTTCCAGAAAATAATATATATTTACAAAATGACCAAGTGGGTAACCTGGAAGGCAAGACAAAACAAAGTAAAGTGACATATTCATTTAAGAAATGGTCTGATATCAAACTCTTTGTTCAGACCTCTAGGAGACATGGTACACAAATGGTGAATCCAACACAAATCTCTTCTCAATAATAGATTATCAGTATCTCTGCCCCTCCTGGGAATCTTAACATGTTCGATGTATTTTCTAGTTGTGGATCAGTGCTCAAGATGTACCAGTGTTTTTTTATGATGTGGTCGAACTGTTTACCAAGTGGGAAGTACTGAAGGAAGCATTGAACGTGTTGGTCAGGAGGGCGGGGAGGATTGGGCATTCTAAGCAAAGTTTGTTTGGGTTGTATAATGTGCCTACAACATTTCAACAATGAAATTCCAAGTAGACCTAATGTCACATTAACAGTGTTAATAGTCCTATTTGGCAGGGTAGTTACAGTACAGTATATGGCTTTTTCTTGCCAGTAAGAAAATGTGATTTTTCAGATGTACAGTGCCTTGCAAAATTATTCATCCCCCTTGGCGTTTTTCCTATTTTGTTGCATTACAACCTGTAATTTAAATTTATTTTTATTTGGATTTCATGTAATGGACATACACAAAATTGTCCAAATTGGTGAAGTAAAATGAAAAAAATAACTTGTTTCAAAGAATTCTACTAAATAAATAACGGAAAAGTGGTGCGTGCATATGTATTCACCCCCTTTGCTATGAAGCCCCTAAATAAGATCTGGTGCAACCAATTACCTTCAGAAGTCATATAATTAGTTAAATAAAGTCCACCTGTGTGCAATCTAAGTGTCACATGATCTGTCACATGATCTCAGTATATATATACACCTGTTCTGAAAGACCCCAGAGTCTGCAACACCACTAAGCAAGGGGCACCATCAAGCAAGCGGCACCATGAAGACCAAGGAGCTCTACAAACAGGTCAGGGACAAAGTTGTGGAGAAGTACAGATCAGAGTTGGGTTATAAAAAAATAATCAGAAACTTTGAACATCCCACGGAGCACCATTTAAATCCATTATAAAAAAATTGAAAGAATATGGCACCACAACAAACCTGCCAAGAGAGGGCCGCCCACCAAAACTCACAGAACAAGCAAGGAGGGCATTAATCAGAGAGGCAACAAAGAGACCCTGAAGGAGCTGCAAAGCTCCACAGCAGAGATTGGAGTATCTGTCCATAGGACCACTTTAAGCCGTACACTCCACAGAGCTGGACTTTACGGAAGAGTGGCCAGAAAAAAGCCATTGCTTAAAAACAAATAATAAGCAAACACGTTTGGTGTTCGCCAAAAGGCATGTGGGAGACTCCCCAAACATATGGAAAAAGGTACTCTGGTCAGATGAGACTAAAATTGAGCTTTTTGGCCATCAAGGAAAACGCTATGTCTGGCGCAAACCCAACACCTCTCATCACCCCGAGAACACCATCCCCACAGTGATGCATGGTGGTGGCAGCATCATGCTGTGGGGATGTTTTTAATCGGTAGGGACTGGGAAACTGGTCAGAATTGAAGGAATGATGGATGGCGCTAAATACAGGGAAATTCTTGAGGGAAACCTGTTTCAGTCTTCCAGAGATTTGAGACTGGGACAGAGGTTCACCTTCCAGCAGGACAATGACCCTAAGCATACTGCTAAAGCAACATTCAAGTGTTTTAAGGGGAAACATTTAAATGTCTTGGAATGGCCTAGTCAAAGCCCAGACCTTTTTTGTCTTATTTCTTGTTTGTTTCACAAGAAAAAATATTTTGCATCTTCAAAGTGGTAGGCATGTTGTGTAAATCAAATGATACAAACCCCCCAAAAATCTATTTTAATTCCAGGTTGTAAGGCAACAAAATAGGAAAAATGCCAAGGGGGTGAATACTTTCGCAAGCCACTGTATGCACTGCATGTTAGCTGAAGGTAAAGTATGCCTGGGCCCGTATTCATAAAGCCTCTCAGAGTGCTAATCTAGGATCAGTTTTGCCTTTAAGATCATAATGAATAATATCACATGGACAGGGGAGGAACTTATCCTAGATCTGTTCTACAGTCAGGAACCAAGTTTGTCTCTCAGAGCTGAGGATTGTCCTCCTGGGAAGCCGCTACTCTGGGAAGAGTTCAACAGGAAACACCATCCTAGGCAGAGAGGAGTTCACCATCGGAGCTCAAACTGAGGAGTGTGTGAGGCGAGAAGCGGAAGTATTTGGGAGAAGGGTCACTGTGGCACGCTATTTCCCTCTGGACTCCCTGGAGTGCGCTAAGCAGAGGTTGGCGTACAATGTGTCCATGTGTCCTCCGGGACCATACGTTTTCCTCCTAGTCATGCCACTGGACAGGTTCAGGGGGAAGGAGTGGATGGTGGAAGAGCAGCTGGAGTTTCCCATCGAAAGTATCTGGCGATACACAATTGTACTGTTCACTGGGGGTGACGCTCTGAGGGAGTAGGACTCGAGGATAGAACAGCTCTTGGAGAGAGAAGTCAGCTGGAAGCAGCTGGTGGAGAAATCCAATAACAGGTACCATGTGTTTGACAATGTGAGCAGGGACGAAGATGGCACACAGGTCAGATGGCTGCTTGAAAGGACAGAAGAGGTAGTGTCGGGAAATGACGGCAGCTGCTTTGAAATCAATGAGAATGCCTCTGAAAAATTTTAACACAAGAGGAGGGAGATTGAAAAAAGGGCAGAGGGTAGACTAAAGATGGTTCAAAGGACAGAGACACTTAAGCTCTTCTTCACTCAGGTGAGAAACTGTCATTTCAACCAAAAATACAGTACATATTTATATTTGATCCATAACAAACCACTGTATTTTGGTTAGTTTTGGGTGAGATATTTTGTCTCTCTGTCTCACTCATTTAAGCATCCCACAGACTGACAGAGCTAAGGATTTTGCTCCTAGGGGGAAAATATACTGGGAAAAGTTTGACAGGCAACACCATTCTTGGCAGGGTGGAATTTGTACGTTTGACCAAGGCGTGCCAAGTGGGTGGGCGGCGGGTGACCGTGGTCGATACTCTGGGCTGGGACTGGCGCTCCGTGCAGGACACGTCTGAGTGGATGAAGCAGGAGGTGGTACGCAGCGTTCAGAACCTCACACCCTCCTCCCCGTGGTCCCGGGTGACGTGACCTTCACAGAGAGTGACAGGCGAGAATTGGAGCAACACCTGGTACTGGGCCTAGGGACGTGAAGCCGCACCCTGGTACTGTTCACCATGTGGGACTGCTTCAGAGGTCACCCCTGAGGAGCACATCGAGAACTAGGGTGCCCTCTGGTGGCTGGTGGAGAAAAGTGGGAACAGATACCACGTCATGGAGAATGAAAACCCAGTGAACAGCCAACAGGTGGCTGAGCTGCTGGAGAAGATTGAGGAGATGGTTGTAGGGTACGAAAGCGAGCTCCTTCTCACAATGTACCAGCAGGCAGAGGAAAGCAACCAGGAGCTAAAACTGTTATGTGAGGACAACCTAAGAACAATGGAGAGTATGAGGGAGTCTATCAAAGAGAGGGAGGAGAAAATTTAAGTGATGGAGGACAGCTACAAGAAAGATGTGTGTAGAGAAGGACAAAATCAGCAATGAGATGGAAACTCGTTTTAAAGCGGACAACAGTGGTGTATCACTGCACAGATAAATGCACAATAGATGAAACATTCTGTAAGCCAATAACTATTATTTTGGCAGTGCAGATAAATATATAGATCCTTAACCTAAAACAGCCTGCAAATGGGAGGGGGGGTTGTACTAAGCTAACATATGGAATTGTTTTAAGATGGTCAAACCATGGATCATGGATCATTGAGCTATTTGATTTTGAATTTTAAGACCCCTTTAGGTATCCCCAAAAACACAAAAAATATTGACTTTTGCCTTTACTACTATAGCCTATAGATACACATTGACTAACACAATCATAAATGGCAAAAAAGACAGTCAAAAAATACATAATAAGGAATAAGGTTTTGAAGTGTCTGTCCTATAAATGGTGCTGGCTGAGGCTAAAACTGGCGAGTGTAGATAGTATAGGGATATTGTTATCCACATCAAAGAGTCAGAGGTCACCAAGTGCAACATAACTTCAGCATGTAACTTAGCTAGAAAGATGTGTTGGCATCGAGTAATTGTCTCTGGCCACCTCCCAGTTAGGGGGAGTGATGAGCTCTACAGCACTCGCACAACTCAATCGCTTGTTGAAAACTGTTTTCTGCCCTGCCAAAAGATAGAATTTGTAGATAACTGGCCCTCTTTCTGGAACTTCCCCACAAACAGGGCCAAGCCTGGCCTGCTGAGGAGTGACGGACTCCATCCAAGCTGGAGGGGTGCTCTCATCTCTCAACATAGACAGGGCTCTAACTCCTCTAGCTCCACAATGAGACAGGGTGCAGGCCAGGAAGCAGGATGTTAGCCAGCCTGCCAGCTTAGTGGAGTCTGCCTCTAGCACAGTGAGTGTAGTCAGCACAGCTTTCCCCATTGAGACCATGTCTGTGCCTCGATCTAGGTTGGGAAAAACTAAACATGGCAGTGTTCGCCTTAGCAATCTCATTGGAATATAGACCTCCTACATTCCTGTCATTATTGAAAGAGATCTCAAAAACAGGACTACTTAATGTTAGATCCCTCACTTCCAAGGCAGTCATAGTCAATGAACTAATCACTGATCATAACCTTGATGTGATTGGCCTGACCAAAACATTGCTCAAGCCTGATGAATTTACTGTGTTAAATGAGGCCTCTCCTCCTGGTTACACTAGCGACCATATCCCAAGCGCATCCCGCAAAGGCGGAGGTGTTGCTAACATGTTTTCTTCTTTTGAGCTTCTAGTCATGAAATCTATGCAGCCAACTCAATCACTTTTTAAAGCTACTATTTACAGGCCTCCTGGGCCGTATGCAGCGTTCCTCACTGAGTTCCCTGAATTCTTATCGGACCTCGTACTCATAGCAGATAATATTACATTTTATGGTGACTTCAATATTCATGTGGATAAGTCCACAGACTGGAAGTCTTCCAACTAGCTTGAAAAGACAGTACCATGCAATATCAAAGAGCCCCTCACTGCTGCTCAATCAGCCTACTTTTCCAACCTGATTGAGGATAATATTTTTTATACTGTCGCAAAGCTAACTAAAAAGCAGCATTCCCCAAGTGAGGATGGCCTTCACTTCAGCAATGTGGAATTCATGAATTTCTTCGACAAAAAGATCCTGATCATTAGAAAGCAAATTACGGTCTCCTCTTTGAATCTGCGTATTTTTCCAAAAGTCCGTTTTCTGAGTCTGCACAGAACTGCAAGGACCTAGGATCAATGGAGACACTCAAGTTTTTAAATCCTGTATCACTCGACACATTCACAAAAATCATGGCCTCTAAACCTTCTAGCTGCCTACTGGAGCCTATTCCAACTAAACTATTAAAAGAGCTACTTACTGTGCTTGGCCCTCCTATGTGGAACATAATAAAAGGCTCCTTATCCTCTGGATGTGTACCAAACTCACTAAAAGTGGTAGTAATAAAGCCTCTCCTGAAAACAAAACCGGCCTGTATCGAATCTCCCATTCCTATAAAAAAAAAAAACAACTCACTGCCTTCCTGAAGACTAATAATGTATACGAAATGCTCCAGTCTGGTTTCAGACCCAATCATAGTACTGAGACTGCACTCGTGAAGGTGGTAAATTACCTTTTAATGGCGTCAGACCAAGGCTCTGCATCTGTCCTCGTGCTCCTAAACCTTAGCGCCGCTTTTGACACCATCAATCACTACATTATTTGGAGAGATTGGAAACCCTAAATGGTCTACATCTTGAAGAACGATCTGGGCTAAATGACCATGTACTCTTATAATCTCCACCGTGCACAGCCAGAAGAGGACTGGCCACCTCTCAGAGCCTGGTTCCTCTCAAGGTTTCTTCCTAGGTTCCTGCCTTTCTAGGAAGTCTTTCCTGGCCTCTGTGCTTCTACATCTGCATTGCTTGCTGTTTTGGGTTTTAGGCTGGGTTTCTGTATAAGCACTTAGTGACATCTGCTGATGTAAAAAGGGCTTTATAAATACATTTAATTGATAGATTGACTATATCTAGGAGATATTTTTGTTTTTTTGGACACATATTTGACCCCTTATTTTTGTAGCCACAAAACTACCTCCATACTTCCATTTGTTTGTATGGGTTACCTTCAGACGAGTCCCGTGACACTCGTGGGGGTCGTAGAGCACAACGGAGAACACCATCATATTACTTTGAAGCTCAAACGGTTCAGACGCTACAGATGTTTTTGTGAGAAGACTGATTTTCGGGATGTCTCATGGTCTGACAAACACCGCTGTAGCTCGGCCACTTTCCACCGCCGAATATACAACAGGTGTAGACTTTACCGTGAAATGCTTACTTATGTGCCCTTTCCCAACAATGCAGAGTTAAAAAGTAAGACAATAACGAGGCTATATACAAGAAGTACTAGTACTGAGTCAATGTGCAGGGGTACGAGGTAGTTGTAGGGAATTGAGGTAATACAGTATGTACATTTATGCCGTTTATCCTATTTTGTTGCATTACAACCTGTAATTTTTATGGAATTTTATTTGATTTAATGTAATGGACATACACAAAATAGTCCAAATTGGTGAAGTGAAATGAAAAAATTACTTGTTTCAAAAGATTCTAAAAAATAAATTACGGAAAAGTGGTGCGTGCATATGTATTCACCCCCTTTGCTATGAAGCCCCTAAATAAGATCTGGTGCAACCAATTACCTTCAGAAGTCACATAATTAGTTAAATAAAGTCCACCTGTGTGCAATCTAATTGTCACATGATCTGTCACATGATCTCAGTATATATACACCTGTTCTGAAAGGCCCCAGAGTCTGCAACACCACTAAGCAAGGGGCACCATCAAGCAAGCGACACCATGAAGACCAAGGAGCTCTCCAAACAGGTCAGGGACAAAGTTGTGGAGAAGTACAGATCAGAGTTGGGTTATAAGAAAATATCAGAAACTTTTAACATCCCACAGAGCACCATTAAATCCATTATAAAAAATGTAAAGAATATGGCACCACAACAAACCTGCCAAGAGAGGGCCGCCCATCAAAACTCACGGACCAAGCAAGGAAGGCATTAATCAGAGAGGCAACAAAGAGACCAAAGATAACCCTGAAGGAGCTGCAAAGCTCCACAACAGAGATTGGAGTATCTGTCCATAGGACCACTTTAAGCCATATACTCCACAGAGCTGGACTTTACGGAAGAGTGGCCAGAAAAAAGCCATTGCTTCAAGAAAAAAATAAGCACGTTTGGTGTTTGCCAAAAGGCATGTGGGAGACTCCCCAAACATATGGCACCGCCTGGTTTAGAGGTCCTGGATGGCAGGGAGCTCTGCCCTAGTGATGTAACCTCTGTAAGCGTCTTACAGTCGGATGCCAAGCAGTTGCCATACCAAGCGGTGATGCAGCCAGTCAAGATGCTCTCAATGGTGCAGCTGTAGAACCTTTTGCCAATCTTTTCAGCCTCCTGAGGGGGAAGAGGAGTTGTCGTGCCCTCTTCACGACTGTGTTGGTGTGTTTGGACCATGATGTTTGATGTGTGGACACCGAGGACATGTGTGGACACGAGGAACTTGAATCGCTCGACCCGCTCCACTACAGCCCCATCGATGTGAATAGTGGCATGCATAGCCCTCCGTTTCCTTTAGTCCATGATCAGCTCCTTTGTCTTGCTAATGTTGAGGGACAGGTTGTTGTCCTGGCACCACACTGCCAGGTCTCTGACCTCCTCCCTGTAGGCTGTCTCATCGTCGTCAGTGATCAGGCCTACCACCGTCGTGTTGTTGGCAAACTTAATGATGGTGTTGGAGTCATGTGTGAGTGAAGAGGGAGTACAGGAGGAGACTAAGCAGGCACCCCTGAGGGGCCTCTGTGTTGAGGGTCAGCGTGGCAGAGGTGTTGTAGCCTACCCTCACCCCCTTGGGGCGGCCCGTCAGGAAGTCCAGGGTCCAGTTGCAGAGGGAGTTGTTTAATCACAGGGTCCTTAGCTTAGTGATGAGCTTGTAGGGGACAATGGTGTTGAACGCTGAGCTGTAGTCAATGAAAAGCATTCTCACGTAGGTGACATATTCATTTAGAATGATTCCTTCATCATTTCTTTTATTTGCCAGAAAGGCCTGTCGTTAATTAAATAAAACAAGAAGCCAAACTTTGAAGTACATGAAGACTGTTTTAAATGAAAATGTCCTTGGATGAATTGGCCAGTGCAAATGCAAGACAATGGGCACAGCATCAGTAGTGTGGCTACTATACAATAGCACTTAGCAGCTACCGTAATGACATATTTTACAGTAAAATGTATTATATGAAATATATCAGTACTGTAATCTGATATTTCCTGCATCAACCTTAGTGCCTCATACCAAATATACTACTATTTATTCTCTGGTGTAGAGGGTGAATTAGCCTTTCCCACAATATTCAGGTGGTTGAGTCGCGCCATCACCTTGGCACCAAGTCTATTGGTCTGAGACTTCAGAAAT